ATATATAATTTTATATAATTATATATAGAATATTTTTTCCCGGGGATTTGTATCATATTTTACAATATAAAATTTAAATTTTTTGTTTTATTTTAACTTTGTTTGTTAAATTTTAATATTAATTAATTATTAGAATTATTATTACATAGTACAACACACATTCCCGACGGTGGAAAAATCAAACAGATTCTGAAAGTAAATGTAAAAACAAAATACCCATGTCTCAGCGTTATACCAGATCAGAAGTCATTAATATTTATTATGCAGCCATTTATCGTATTTGTTTTATATTGGTGTTTTACAATTGTTTTAAATTATATAATAATATTTTAAAATAAGTAATTGACGTTTTTGCATGTAAAATTATGCGATGAGTCCGAATACAAAAAAAAATAACTGAAAATTATTTTTTTTTCATATATTTTCAAATTTTTGAATAATAATAATAATACAATTATAATTATAATTATTATAAGAATCTTGGTCATTTGATTTGCCGTTTGTATGATTCCGGTTTTGTATCACGAACAATAGACCAACAGTATTCACCAGGCATGTCTCTGATGTCTTTTCCTTTGAAGCGTTTCTCAATGATCGCAATGTCTTGGTAAAAATATTCATTATGTTCATCCAAATTTGAATTCATCCAAATTCTGAATTCACCTAAATTCGATGGAAAAAAAATCCAATGATTGTAAAAAAAAGTATATTTTGAGTAACATGTTAACATGGTAACTTTCATTGCATAAAAAGTCAAAATCATTACAGCAACAATTTTTTTGTAATTGTCGACTTTTTTATTGCCCAGAAAATTTTCAATTCGGCGGCTCAAACCATTTCATGCTCGTTTTTCCACTGTATTCAACAATTTACGGAAGTCTTTATTTTTTATTAATTTTCCTAACATCTACTTTCAGAATCTCTTTGAGTTTTTCATGGGAAAAAATCTATGCTGTACAATATTATAAAAAGACATTTAATATGATACTTAAAAAACGTTAACAACTAAATCTGGTAAAACGCTCAGATATGGGTATTTTTTTTACATCTACTTTCAGAATCTCTTTGATTTTTTCATAGAAGGAAAAAAATTCGATTTTTGTCGTACTGTGTTATATATTAATTACGTTTTTCAGTTAGTAAAAACGTCAGTCGGCTATATGTCCGTCTTACATACAACAAGAAATTAAAAGTGAGATATATTTGAATTCTTTTTGATATTATTCATTTTGACACTTTAATTATTTATTAAAAAAATAATGTAAGAACTATGCGAGCATTAATCAAATATAAAATAAATTATAGATTTTAGTGCAGAGTTCGATAGAAAATAATTGAATTATATTAAATGATGCAGGATAAAATCTGAAATTAAATTCTGTAATCTGAATCGTAGTCTATATATATCCATCTTTCTTCTGAAACGTAT